CAGCTGGCTGGTTGGGTGGCCAGCTGGCTGGCTGGCTGATTTGCTTTGGCTGTCTCTATCTCCTTCTGTCTCTATCACTGTCTATCTCTGTCTCTATCTCACAGGTACACATAAATACAGTTATACATAGTGTAAATTTGCTAGAATAACCCAAAATATCCAGACAAAGTGCTATACTATGCTTGTAGATATGAGGCATAATAAGCATGACTGGCAAGTAATGCACATTTTCGCTTGTTCAGGAATCAGACATGACCGACTCTGCATTGTGTGTAATGCCTGTTGATTCATGAGCGGTTCTCTCTCTGAGACAGAGAGACAGGAACACAGAAAGATAAGCAGAGACAGAGATAAACATAGACAGACAGACATACAAATAGACAGATAGAAACAAACAGATAGACATGTTTATTTGTAACAGTGAAAAATAAATCTAAGGCAGTGCACGATCATCAAATGTCACTCCACAAGTGACACTCCACTGGCAGTGGAGTGACACTCATCTTATACTGTGCTTCAAGGAGTTTCATATATACTCCAGCATTTCTAAAACAGTAGGTAGTAGGTTGGTAGACAGCAACCACCCAAGGAGGTACTACCATCCTGCCAAGTGAGGGTAAAATGAAAGCCTGTACTTGTTTTACCTGATGGTAGGATTGCTGGTGTCTTTTTCCTGTCTCGTAAACATGCAAGATTTCAGGTACGTTTTGCTACTTCTACTTACACTTAGGTCACACTACACATACATGTACAAACATATACATGTATATACACACCCCTCTGGGTTTTCTTCTATTTTCTTTCTAGTTCTTCTTGTTTATTTTCTCTTACCTTCATGGGGAAGTGGAACAGAATTCTTCCTCCATAAGCCATGCGTGTTGTAAGAGGCGACTAAAATGCCGGGAGCAAGGGGCTAGTAACCTCTTCTCCTGTATATATTACTAAATGTAAAAGGAGAACCTCTTGTTTTTCCTTTTGGGCCACCCCGCCTCGGTGGGATACGGCTGGTGTGCTGAAAGAAAGAAATACATTTTTCGTATTTAAAAACCCGTAACAAAAAAAATTGGAGTGGTTTTTGGGGGGCTGGAATGGATTAATGGCATTTCAATTAATTTCAATGAGGAAAATTTATTTGATATATGAGCAAATTGAGTTGTGAGCTCGGTCACAGAACGAATTAAACTCGCAAGTCAAAGGTACTCCTGTACAAGATAAATTGACAAATAGACAGTGGCAAATTTTGTGCAAGTATGGTATTTGAAAATGGTGATGGGGAAGATCCTTTAACCCGTAAACGGTCCAAACGTATATGTACGTTTTTACTGCTAGTGCCCCAAACGTATATATACGTTTTATTTTTCCTGCCTTCAAATCTGGCACTATTGGCCTGAGATGCCTTGTCAGCATTGAATGGGTCCTAACACTCAGTGTGCGTGGTATTAAAAAAATCTGGGGCCACTTAGTACCTTGTGGGAGCACCAGTTCAAATGAGCGCCAGCTAGAGCAAACAGCGCAGCAATAACCTGGGATTCACTGATGTAATGTAGTATTAACACTCCCATTTTAAGAGGAAAGTGATTTTGGCCCTGAATTTAGTGGCTTTGAGGTGAATGTGGCCACAAGTGGTCGAGGAAATATCAAAAAGCCTCGATAATAACCCATGTGCAAAATTTGTGCAACACCCTTTCAGAATGTCTTATAACCTATGCCCTAAGTAAAGAGAAACAATGCTAGCTGGCTGGCAGGCTAGCTGGCTGGATGGCTGGCTGGCTGGCTGACTGGCTGACTGGCTGACTGGCTGACTGGCTGACTGGCTGACTGGCTAGCTGACTGACTGGCTAGCTGCTGCTGCTGCCAGTCCTCCTCCTCCTCATACACTTCCACATATCCAAAATATTGCTGGGACCTATAAATACTTTGTATATATTCCAAGACAATAGTAAATGGCCAAGGCATGTGTAAATGTCCACCTGTCAGTGTGTTTTGTGACAATGTGAGTACAATTTCAGTACCTAATACTAGCGTCAGAACAAAGATTGGGTATGAAATGACAAGAACTACTATAAATTGTAATTATCAGAACATAAAAATTATATAAAATAATATGAAAAATAGAAAAAAGGTATATCGGCAACACTTCTGCAAGCGGTAGGACTTGATGTTGCTGTCATGTGAGCATCCAGTGCCAACTTCTGGGTGTCATATCTTGGTAAGTACTGACCCTAAAAAAAAAATTTTTTTATCCTATAACACTTAGAAAAATGTGCTCTTTTTTTTTTTTTTTTTTTTTTTTTTTAAAGATTTTTTTTATTTTTCAAAATATTCGGGGTACTGGGGTAGTGAACGTATATATACGTTTGGACCGTTTATGGGTTAACTATGTGCCTGTGTCATTAACACTGGATGTAAAATAACAGGAGCAGTCTTTAGAGAAGAGTTGGTTTAACACACACAGTAAATATCAGCTGCAGTATTAAAACAGAGAAGTTAACATAAAAGTGCAACATAAATCTCATGAAAGGTTAATGTGTAAACTACAAAATATAAGAGGAATAAATGGCAAAATATATATTACAATATACTGTATAAAGAGATGTTGGTTTAAAAAAGAAATGCGAATAGTTAAGGAAAGAATTCCTCATGGGGAAATGTTACTAGTAGGTTCCCATAATGGTCAGTACTTGTTCCCATAATTAATGATTGTAATTTTTATAAATAAATTATCAGAAGAGATATATAGCTACTACGTATGAATATTTGTCGGTGACGCAAAACATTTATTCAAAATAAGAAACAAAAAAGACTGAAGCGCTGCAAGAAAATCTAGGTTAATTGAACAGAATGATGAATAGCCCTTCAAATTTTGCACTGGAGATAAGTGTTATGTATTGGAAAGCAACTACAGTCCTGAAGGTTGGTAGTACAGTGCCTGCAGTCTGAAGGAGGAATGGGGATGTTGCAGTTTGGAAGGTCATTTGAAATATAATGTCTCCTTACTTTTGGCATGACATCTATTGAATGGTAAATATATTTTAATTTTTTAATCACCCTACTTTGGTGGGAAACTGCTGTGTTAAAAAAAAAAACAAGTGCCATATAAAGGGAAGAAATTAAAGAAAAAAAACGGGTTCCATGAAGATTGTATATTTGTGATAAATTGTTGAGAACGTTGAATATAGAATTAGATATGGATGGAATTTATTTTGGAACCACGATCACCCAACAATCAGATTATTGCTTTATTCTAAGCTTTAGTTAAGTAATCACAGATGATTTTACAGACAGTATTATAAAATATATAATGGTTCTCAAAAGCACATAATTTTTTATCATACCTTAATGGAAATTATTTAGATTTAACATATAACTCATCAAATTCAGATTTATTTTCATTGGGGTTCTTTAGTGAGACACCATCACCAATGCTACAGTACAGCCTCTCCTCACTTAGCGATGTACTCATTTACCAACGCCTCGGACTTACACCGGGCTCTCTGACCAGTATGCATACCTAAATACTTAATGTGTATTAGAGCTGATTTCCTAAATTCTGTTTATTACAATATACAGTATGCTGCTGTATAAACATTTAAAAATATACCAAAAAATTTATAAATGGTATAAAGGTGACATTTAAACAATATCAAAGATGATTGACACAAATCCACTGCCATTACAGTATGCTCCTCATTTTGCAATGAATTCATTTACCGACGGGGTCCTAGGAACCTAACTCTGTCGTTAAGTGAGGAGAGGCTGTATTGAAAAGAAAAATTTTGAAAAAAGTTTTCAGACACATTCTAGATAGTAAAATGCTGCAACATATTAAATAAAAATTAAAATATGCAGCTGTAATACCATATTGTGTCCTGACCAAAAAATATTAATCTGTTTGAAAATATCAGAGATGTACTACTAAGTGAATTTCAGAATTCGGTAATGTGTATTATGGAGAGAGACTAAAGACACTGAAAAGGCCTTCAATGGTAGACAGAGAAAAAATAGTAGTTATAACCATAAAATATACACACATGGGTCTGAGCAAAAGTCTGTGACAAATAGAGCATTACAAGGATAGCTTTGCTCATGTAAATAATTTGGCACTGAGAAATAGGTAATGTAAATGAAACTGAAAAGGTGAGGGTGGAGATTGCACATGGAGTATGTGAAACAAGAGAAAGTTAAGAGATAGTAGAAAGAAAGTGTAATAAGAGAGAGTTAAGAGACAGTGGAAAGAAAGAACAGAAAAAAAGAGAGACAGTAAACAGATAGTTAATGAGAAAGAGAGAGCACTAGCAATATCAGCAATGATATATTGTACATCCAGAACACATTATTGCTTTAGTGATAGCTAACCTGTTGTACTCTTCATTTGCTGGGAATTTACCTGCCTTTCTTAAGATGATTAATTAAATCTGATTTTGTGATTATGTATTTTAAAATATATTTACCTGCAGTGTGCTTAGAGCCATAGTAATTTTTGTATGTATTTGGGTTAATGTTTGAAAAAATATTTTTCACCATAGTTGCTATTACATGTCTACCAGAAATAAAAAATCACTTGGACAGAAATGCAAAACGTGGGTAAAAGAGATTTCTATATTTCATTCTTGGAGACCTTCATCAGCTTCTGATTAATGTTAAAATATGCAGGTCTGTTAGTGTTTCATATTTCTATCTAAATGGTTTCTTACTTTGCATTGATCAGTGTTACTGGCACTAATCCAAGCATATCCCAGAAGTAAGAATAAATGTGAAAATCATAATAATACTAGAAAAATGTACTGAGTAAATGTGTGGTTGTTGAAATGAGGACGTGTCCATGTAAATATTGTTAATTTATACTCCATTGTATTTTTTTGTTACTGCAACTCCTTTAGTAATTGCTTATTTTCATTTGAGGAGCATGTTACTGAGCCAAAAAGTAAAGCTAAGTAAATCTTGCATGAGTGCCCTGTGCAATACCTTTTGAGCCACAGCATGAAGTGGTTGCCTTGCAGTAGTGTAGAAGCAGACGTCGGGGAGCTGTTGTCCCTGAGAGAGGAACCTCGCATTGACAAGCCCCGCATGAGCTTCACCCGTGGCCTGCATGCTATCTCTAGCCTCTCTTCTGACTTTATGTTTATGTAAGTCCATCATCTTCACTTTAACTTCCTTATCTTTTTGTAATTTAGGGAAATTTCTTACTTTATTTTTTTAGCTATGAGTTTTATCACAAAGTTCCATGTGGATATTCTGTTGCTGTTTTTCAAATTTGGTTATGTATTTTTGTAAGCACTCAGTCAAGGCTTGGCTTTTTATCAAAATGGGCATTGCTGTGTCAGATGTCAGGGCTAGACATTCATCAAACTTTTTTTTTTTTTGCTATATGAAGATTTATTACACTACTGTCATCATAGGATTTGTATTTTTCTTTTTATTGATGGAATTAGTATACATCAGAAATCACATGTATAAAAAATTTGCAACCTTGTAATAAATTTGCATTAAGCCAAATGATCATAGAATTGGCTAGAAATGACAATATAAACCATGGAACAAGTGCTTTAGCCATTAACCTGGAGTTTTACAGCTCACTTGCCATGGGTTTCAACCCCCATTTGTTCTGTGGTTTGTTTGCAGTCACGTTATTACGATTTCATGAATCACGATAACAGTATCTTTGGTCTAATAATTAATTATGAAAAATTAATACAAAGCATCAGTTTTTAACATATTCCCAAAATGAATGTTTTCAATTTTAGGAGTAACTCATCAAAAGGGAAGGATAATTACTTGTATTTGAAAGAACAGTTCTTTTTCTAAACTTTGGTTTTTATTTTAGCATTCTGTACAGTGCTGCTTAGGCCAATCAGTTAGTCTACTTTAACATCTTTTTATTACAATGCATATCTATTATATAATTGTTGTTTTTCGTTGGGAATGAAATAGAAGTGATTAATTCGGAGTTGTCTCTTTTGTTTAGATAAATTCAGGCACAGCTCCTGTAGTGTGTGAAATAACAGCAGAGATGTTACATGGTGCATTTGACACAGTTGTAAACTGCTGTGCCAAAGTACCGGATGACTTTGTGAGATTTTCGCTATCAAATTAAGTCTTTATGCCAGAAATAATTCTGTTTTTAATAAATATTGCAGCTGTGCTGTCATAGGAAGGGCTGCATGATGGAACTACATTCTAAGTAAAGAGATTGAGTTTATAGTAACATTCCAGGTAAAATGGGATAAAATATTGTACTTTGGCATTCACTTGTTAACCATTTTAATCTACCCCATCACTTACTTGCATGAGCAGTAATCTCCCTTACCTCACCTCTCTATTGACGAGAGTTTTCATAAAAAGACAAATTTTTGGCCCTCCAGCTCTATGTAAAAAATTATTGAGCTTGGATTCCTTTTTAGTAAGAAATTTACTTGAATTTTTTTTATGGATTTGTCCACCAGACAACAAGAATTTGTGTACTACTCGTGGTGGAACTTGTAAGGATGGAGACAAGTAGTATATAATGATGACAAGAGTTATGATTGTTATATCTCTTGCCTAAATGAGTGCCTGTCATGGATGAAATTGGAATCTTTAGTGTGTGCTTTGGGTGTACCAGTCACACATGAACAGAAGATTCTAATGACAATGATGACCAAACTAATTATATGATTAAGGCACAGTTGGGATTGAACATTAAGGTGGCCAGCTACACATCTGAGGTAGAACTGAATGCTATGCAATAGAAGAACTTGGCATGACACATATTGAAGATGGATAAATGTGTATTCAGTTAAACTGTAGTATAATGGACTAATAAGGGGAGGGGGGTGCCTTATTAAATGAAAATCCATTATATTGAAATTTCTGGTGCAGCACACTAGGTCCACACTGTCAGTGATAGCACAGTGGACCCCTGACCAACGAAAGCATCGTCTAACGATAAATTCGACTAACATGATTCGTCCCGAACGCGTCCATGTGTCCCGTCTGGCCTGAACGCACCTTAGCTGCCCTGCCTTCAGTTAGTGTGCCAGTGTTTACAAGCCAGTGCAGTCGCATCCACGCATACATTCAGTACATTTTGTATTCCAGTGTTTTTAGTGCTTGTAACTGCAAAATAAGCCACCATGGGCCCCAAGAAAGCTTCTAGTGCCAACTCTGTGGTAAAAAGGGTGAGAATTACAATTGAAATGAAGGAGGAGATCATCACAAAGTATGAAACTGGAGTGCGTGTCTCCGAGCTGGACAGGTTGTATAACAAACCCCAATCAACCATCGTTACTATCTTGGCCAACAGAAAGGCAATCAAGGAAGCTGTTGTTGTGAAAGGTGCAAGTATGTTTTCGAAACACAGATCGCAAGTAGTCGAAATGTTGAGAAACTATTATTGGTGTGGATAAACGAAAAAACAGATATCAGGAGATAGCATCTCTCAAGCGATCATATGTGAAAAGGCAAGGCAGTTGCATGATGATTTAATTAAAAATAAAGGTAAAGTGTCATTTATTCTTCATTACACAATATACATATGTATACATGTATTGTGCATCTATCCTTCTGTTTGTGTGTAGGAAAATGTATATTTCATGTGGTAAAAATTTTTTTTTTTTTTCATACTTTTGGGTGTCTTGAACGGATTAATTTGATTTCCATTATTTCTTATGGGGAAAATTAATTCAACTAACGATAATTTTGTCTAATGATGAGCTCTCTGGAACAGATTAATATCGTTGGTCGAGGATCCACTGTACTGGACACATACCAATGCTTGTGCAATGGACTTAGTCCCTGGCATCGATGACATGACTGGACATAAAGGTACTAAGAAAAACTAATACAAGACAACACAGTAAATTTTCTGATAAGTTAAAAGTATAGTACAATACAATATTTTATATTTTAAATAAAGTAACACAAAACACCATAATATGTATAGATAAATATGCGATTCTAGGTAGTAGGTTGGTAGACAGCAACCGCCCAGGGAGGTACTACCGTCCTGCCAAGTGAGTGTAAAACGAAAGCCTGTAATTGTTTTACATGATGGTAGGATTGCTGGTGTCCTTTTTTCTGTCTCATAAACATGCAAGATTTCAGGAACATCTTGGTACTTCTACTTACACCTAGATCACACTACACATACATGTTTTTTTTTTTTTTTTTTTTTTTTTTCAACAAGTCGGCCGTCTCCCACCGAGGCAGGGTGACCCAAAAAAGAAAGAAAATCCCCAAAAAGAAAATACTTTCATCATCATTCAACACTTTCACCACACTCGCACATTATCACTGTTTTTGCAGAGGTGCTCAGAATACAACAGTCTAGAAGCATAACATATAAAGATACACAACATATCCCTCCAAACTGCCAATATCCCAAACCCCTCCTTTAAAGTGCAGGCATTGTACTTCCCATTTCCAGGACTCAAGTCCGACTATATTGAAAATAACCGGTTTCCCTGAATCCTTCACTAAATATTACCCTGCTCACACTCCAACCAGATCGTCAGGTCCCAAGTACATTCGTCTCCATTCACTCCTATCTAAACACGCTCACGCACGCTTGCTGGAAGTCCAAGCCCCTTACCCACAAAACCTCCTTTACCCCTCTCTCCAACCCCTTTCGAGGACGACCCTACCCCGCCTTCCTTCCCTATAGATTTATATGCTTTCCATGTCATTCTACTGTGATCCATTCTCTCTAAATGACCAAACCACCTCAACAACCCCTCTTCTGCCCTCTGACTAATACTTTTATTAACTCCACACCTTCTCCTAATTTCCACACTCCGAATTTTCTGCATAATATTTACACCACACATTGCCCTTAAACAGGACATCTCCGCTGCCTCCAACCGTCTCCTCGCTGCTGCATTTACCACCCAAGCTTCACACCCATATAAGAGTGTTGGTACTACTATACTTTCATACATTCCCTTCTTTGCCTCCATAGATAACGTTTTTTGACTCCACATATACCTCAACGCACCACTCACCTTTTTTCCCTCATCAATTCTATGATTAACCTCATCCTTCATAAATCCATCCGCCGACACGTCAACTCCCAAGTATCTGAAAACATTCACTTCTTCCATACTCCTCCTCCCCAATTTGATATCCAATTTTTCTTTATCTAAATCATTTGACACCCTCATCACCTTACTCTTTTCTATGTTCACTTTCAACTTTCTACCTTTACACACATTCCCAAACTCATCCACTAACCTTTGCAATTTTTCTTTAGAATCTCCCATAAGCACAGTATCATCAGCAAAAAGTAACTGTGTCAATTCCCATTTTGAATTTGATTCCCCATAATTTAATCCCCCCCTCTCCCAAACACCCTAGCATTTACTTCCTTTACAACCCCATCTATAAATATATTAAACAACCATGGTGACATTACACATCCTGTCTAAGACTACTTTTACCGGGAAGTAGTCTCCCTCTCTTCTACACACCTAACCTGAGCCTCACTATCCTCATAAAACTCTTTACAGCATTTAATAACTTACCACCTATTCCATATACTTGCAACATCTGCCACATTGCTCCTCTATCCACTCTATCATATGCCTTTTCTAAATCCATAAATGCAATAAAAACTTCCCTATCTTTATCTAAATACTGTTCACATATATGCTTCAATGTAAACACCTGATCTACACATCCCCTACCCACTCTAAAACCTCCTTGCTCATCCGCAATCCTACATTCTGTCTTACCTCTAATTCTTTCAATTATAACCCTCCGTACACTTTTCCTGGTATACTCAGTAAGCTTATTCCTCTATAATTTTTACAGTCTCTTTTGTCCCCTTTCCCTTTTATAAAGGGACTATACATGCTCTCTGCCAATCCCTAGGTACCTTCCCCTCTTTCATACATTTATTAAACAAAAGTACCAACCACTCCAACACTATATCCCCCCTGCTTTTAACATTTCTGTCATGATCCCATCAGTTCCAGCTGCTTTACCCCCTTTCATTTTACGTAATGCCTCACGTACCTCCCCACACTTACATTCTGCTCTTCTTCACTCCTAAAAGATGGTATACCTCCCTGACCAGTGCATGAAATTTACTGCCTCTGTTTCTTCCTTAACATTTAAAAGTTCCTCAAAATATTCTCGCCATCTACCCAATACCTCCATCTCCCCATCTA